AACGCAGACTTCCAAAATCTTGTTTACAAGATATCGATCCTTCAAATATTCAGGTAAGCCCCCCCCCCCCTAGATTCATTATTTTATTTATTATACAATCTAAATTGTATTTTTGAAGAAGAGACAACATTTCTTATTTTATACGTATGTAGCGAAACATAAACCTTTTAATTAATTGTTCCATTGCGATCAGGTATGAGAATTTCAAATTGAAGTAAGTACCTACAAGGAATCTCCTTAATTTCTGAAATTTGAAAATTCAAGTGCAGTGTCAGGATCTCTTAAAAACAAAGTATGAATTCCTCTACTGGACTGAGATTAGGTTAGTAATTAGAATTAAGGAATTCAGAGGAGTTAACAATATTTTCACACGTCTAAAACTGCTTAATCGAAAATGTTTACCTTTCCGTTATTTATAGAGCATAATTTTAATTACAAGAATGTTGAAAAATAAATCTATTTTTTCCAAGACAGACACACCTTTAATGAATTCAGTGTTAACTGCTTTTCAATTAATTTTTCGCTACTTAATTGCATGCTGACAACATAAATAAATTTGTACCAGATTCAGTACAGATATACTTTTATTCAATATGTCCAACTATCCCACTGCGACACCATCTGTGGTAACCCAGAAACCGGTAGCGTGTCCGAAACCCACTACGTTGAATTTGTTTTTGTTAGATAAGACTTAACAAATTAAAGATAAAACAACGATCCCAAGGAATAGATATCGTTAGAATTGGAGCCATTTCTCAAACTTATTGGTACCATAAAACGACATCAAGTAGTTCTGTTTACAAATATTTATTACTAAAATATAACTTGCAAACATGTCTTCTTGAATGTCCTTTCCGAATTTGGATTTTGTTTAATTTCAAAAATTTATTAATAAGTAGGTAGCAGGTCCGGCGAACTTCATACTTTAATCAATGTCCCGCTCCCGAGTGCGGTATAAGTTCGGTTTTGGCGGCTACTCAGCCTCACCTCGCCCAAGTTTGCTACACTCAGAAACCTTCGCGGGCATACGTAACTCAATTGATAGATTTGACCGTTTATTTTTTTGCCTCTTACCAACAATCGACGGTGAATTCGTCTAGAGCTGTAGTAGATCTCGTTTTGGCACCATCTATTAGTTATGTTGCGATTAAAATGACGGAAAGGGAAAAGATATCCTAGTGTTTCTAAACCCACTGACGATGTTTATCTTCATGATAAACTTTATTGAGGAGCACAACAAGCTGTTTTGGGGGAATTTGTTTTCTGGAATTAGGTTGGGTAATAAACAATTTTACTCTCCATCCACCATCTTTCTGTGGCCCCAAACGCGAAATCATCTTTAATGTTTTGACTCAATCAATAAGGCCCTATTTTGTTTTTTTTCCTTTAAAACTACCAAAGGTGGCAATTACTTGAATCATGGTAGAGTGTCTCATCTAAATTAAATATTTATCCAGGTTATCTTTTAGATTTAATTCGTCGGCAGTTTTTTTCAGTTAATTAAAGAAACCATAGGTACATTACAAAAGGATTTATGTGCGCCATCCTTGCATATTCCACTCTTTGAGGTTCTTTATGACAATCTGTTCCTTTTCGCAAAATCTTGATACCAGTATTCTCCGGGTCGCTAAACCTGTTTTTAACAAAACAACATCTAGAACTACATGTCTTGACAATCCAAAGCCTCATTTTTATATTGATAAAATTCCCTTTACTTTTACTAGCTACTTTGGAGTGAAAGGTATAATGCAAAAGTTTGGACTTGGTGAGAGGAACGACCAAGTAGAAAGGCTTATCTATAAAGTTCTGCAGGAAAGGTAAATATGTTTGTGACTAATACCATGCGATCAAAAATGAATTGCTATCGAGTCACCTTTGGAATTTTTGTTTACATGGGAAATCGTACTTAACTTGAACTTCCAAAGGCGACTCGACAGCAACTCAGCAAATCCCGTTCATTTTTAGTGTACAATGTTGGCTAAATTTTTGTTTGTTTCGATTACATGGTCTTGGCCTCAACTTATATGAGTTAAAACACTCAATACATGGACTGCTCTCGACTCTCAACTATAGGGTGGGAAATCCCGAATGAGGACCCATTTGCTATCTATCTTAGGGGGTTCTGCTAATAGAAAAACTCTTCGGTTTAGAATCTATAGAGGAAAATGCCCTAATATCGCACAGGATCCCAATATCGCACCCTTGGTTAATTCCTAAACTGGTAAGGTTGAAGGAAAGTTTTCTGTAGTTTTAGTTTCGTGGGCGATCCCTACAGATGCCACATAACGTATACTTCTCCCGCAAAATTATAGATGGCGGTAGTGTTGCCAACGCTGTATTCCACATGATAGAGTTTTTTCCGCATCCATGAATTCGTATACTTTCACTCAAAACTGGTAAGTGAAATATTACAATGTGGTTGTACTCCCTTTAGGAGCTCCACTCTTCAATTTTTATCGCATTAAATTATACTATAACTATTAGGTATTTGTAAAGGTGTTTTTACTATTCTACCTCAACATGTCATGTGCCCTAATATCGCACACTTAAGGGTTCCTAATACCACACTGTGCGATATTAAGAACCCTTTCAAAAAATAATAAATGTTTGTTTCATGTAGATAAAATGCCTCCAAATAAGAGAAAAATGGATAAGATGTTGCCAATGCTACAAATGGGGACACGAAGGATGTGCCCAATCTGATAAGAAAAAAAGTTCATATGCGATTTCTGTTTATCGTATATGCGATATTAGGCTACCATATTATTCAGTGGGAACAAAAAGTGACATTTTTTATACTTTTTGTTACAAAAAGTTTCAAGTTGGAAAATATATATTTTTTCATAAGTCAATATTTAAAAAAAAAATTCCCTCTTGTATACCCCATCGCTTTACACACTGTATTTTTGATACCAGATGTTGTTTTATTGCTCATCACAATATATTTTGAGCCCAACATTGCATCTCTAAAATATTTCTCTTCCGTGATATAAGACCTACAAAAAAAGGGTGCGATATTAGGGCACTTATGAGAATATATGAGTTGCGATTCACTGATTTCCACATATTTTGTTGTAACATTCAATTTGCCATAAAATGCTAATTTTCCATCTTGCTTTTAATTAACAGAAGGTTTTATCGTGTCATGTCAATTTCAAAAACAAACATTGAAACACAAAAAATATAAATTGCTGCATATAAAAGACAACTACATTACCTATAAAGAAATGCAAAGATTACATACTAGGTACGTGTCTGCGCATCAAATAACACAAAATAATACCAAACGTAAACAGAACGATGCTTTCTCAATCGCCATTAGAAACATGATGCCAAACGTACCTATAACAAGCGCAAGGTGTTCTCCAGGGGGCGCAGACAGCTTTCCCTTTCTATAAAAATTGCATGGTTACCAGCTCTCGAGAATATTGTGTTACTATAGTATAAATACTCTTTGGTATTACCAAAGAGTAACCATTACTCTTTGGTATTACCATAATATTTGTATTATACTATGGTACCTATTACCTATCGTTGGTTGTATATATCTATGCAGAGTGGAACCTCCCATACTTAGTTTGAAAATCATAAATAGGGGGCCATTATGCACTAGTCACGTGGCGATCGCTGTAGAAAATAAATGGATCATATTACAATATAGGTACGACAGATAGAAGAGTGTAAAGCGAAGTGTAAAGTGAAGAGGTTAAAGTCAGCCGCTACTATCGATAAATGGGACCTGGCGAAAGATTCAAGGAATGTATTGGATGGTATAGAATTGGGGGTAGAAATTGAAAAGGGACTGAAGAGGCTGAAACAATCACAGCAAGAAAGGTAGCTAAATGAAGTCGCCGTTAGGATGAAGGGATGAAGCAGAAGATAAAGACCAGCTTGCAGGCAGAACCTATAGGGCACAAAACAGTAAAAAGAGATACGTAGATGATTGCTAAGGTGGAGGAAATATATAAAAAGCAAAATACAAAAAGGAAGTACCGAACTTTAAATATCGAGCTTAGAAAAGAAATTGATAGGGGGGGAAGTGTGTAGCGAGCTGAGTGTAGCAGTAACAATAAATGAGCTCAGTAGTATAATACAATCACTAATAGCAGCGTATGTTTCCAAAAACGGATAATATGGCAGCAGGTGACATTTCTAGCAGACTGAAATTACTTCGCACTGATGGCAAAGAGTGGGAGCAAAGAAATGCGTATGGTAATTAGCTGCCTATTGAATGTGATTATAGTAAAAGGATAGAACGAGTGATGGCGGCAGAGAGCGTGGCAGAGGAGCAGTTCGGATTTAGGAAAGGGGTTGGAACTCAGGATGCAATAGGCCTTATGAGATCGCTGATGAAACTGGAATTGAAGGCTATAGTTCCTGTATACTTATGGTGTTGTGTGGTGTCTTTTATACCACAGTGAAACGTGGAAATATAAAGAGAGGGAGAGAGGAAAAGAATAGAAAGCCTGATGGAAATGTGGTTATGGAGAAAGGTTTTGAAAATCATAAGGTCAGATAGAATATTAGGAATTAAAATGTGTTGTCAAGAATAGGGAAGAAAAGAAAGCTGCTCAACACGTCATAGCAACAAGAGAAAGTAATTGGATTGGGAATGTATTAAGGTACAACTGCTTGTTGAGGGAGGTGTTGGAAGGAAGGGTGGAAGGGATGATCCCAAACAGAGAAATGACAATGATCAGAGTTGAAGGGAAGAAAAGGGGTATGCGATGATGAAGAGAGAACTGTCGACATGGAGAAGGGTCTAGCACCATTGATGAAGGAATTTGTTTTCTATACCCCATGCTTATTAATTAACAGTACCACTGCTGAGGGCTCTCAGGTTCCTACCAGGTCAATGTTGATTGTATTTGCATGTAGCTTTAGCAATCACTGGTGGACTGTGTTTGTATAAAAGCTATTACCAACAGGTCTTTTTATTATATTAGTATTTATGAATCTGTTTACTCAATTATCAAACCAAAAAGAATTAAAAGTCAGTATCAAGAAACAAATCAAAATGTTCTTAATTTGACAAGCAAAACTCTGTTAAGAAAATTTTTCTCAGAGACAGCAATTACAAAGAAATGTACTATGGTTTTTAAAATGAGACTAATCACAATAATATTAAGAAATAGGTACATTAGGTCATAATTTACTTAAGATTACATTGTTCATAATACTAATCATCAGAACTGTCTCCTTTATGTTTCTTTTCACGAGATTTAACTTTATGAGATCTCTTGCGGTTCCTCTCACTAGCACTTGATTCACTGCTGCTACTTCTCTTTGATTTCTTCAACTTCTTCTTGGATTTTCGCCGGTCGTCCCCACTACTACGCGAACGCCTTCTGTAATCCCTCCTATGCCTCTCCTCATATTCATACCTACGGTCCCTCTCCTTTCCCCGTGAGTGCTTACTCTTACTTTTGTAATCACGTGATTCGTAGTACTGTTCCTTTTTACTACTTCGCGAATCTTTGCCTCTGGATTTAACATCCTCACCTTTTCTGTATTTTTGGTCATGGTGCCTTTTCGATGGTTCAGTTTTCTGAGTGGAATAGTTCCCCCTTCCGATATCGTTCTTTTTGTCTTCTATTCGTCTCCCTTTACCATCGAAGTGCGCGACACCTCGGCCTTTTCCAAGCCACTTCACTTTGGCTACAGACTGACTGAAGTCGACGTGAATTCGCCGGTCGTCGATTAACACATTGTCCATTTTAAAGTAGGCATCCTCACAGGCCTTCTCTTCCTCGAACTCTATGAAAGCGTACTGCAGAGAGTCGCCGGTTTTACGATCGCGAATCACCTCACACGACTTTATGGTACCGAAACGACTGAAGATGATTTCCAAATCGTCATCAGTTGTCACCGGATTCAGTTTACAAACAAACAGCACGTTTTCTGGCGGGGCCATTTCTGCATCCGGAATGTCACCAACCATCTCCAGGATAGTAGCACGTGCTTTCGCCTCACGATCTGCTTTCATCTCCTCAATTTCAGCAAGATTCTTACCGACCGTCTCATCGATTTCCTCATCGGGTGCTATACGACCGCCTTGTAAGCGTTCAGCGCTGGGAGATGGGGACCGGGCCGGTATTCGCAGCCCCTTCAAATCCGGAAAGGGGTCGTCGAGAATGACCGTGTGCGTAATCCGTATATCCTGATATGGTCTACTGTCAATATCGCAGATCGCCTCGTTTAATAGTTCGATTACGTCCAAACCTTCAGCCACTTCGCCGAAAACGCAATGTTTGTCATCTAAGTAGGACAGCTCAGGAGCAAGCGTAATGAAAAACTGTGAACCAATCATGTTGTCTTCGTCACCTACAAACGACACCAGACCGGTTATTGTATGCTTGATTCGCGGATTTGTTTCGCATTCAAAGAAACGTTTAAGCGACCCTTCGAGTACGCCATAAATTGATTCGCCACCTTTGCGCGAGCCGGTAGGATCACCTGTTTGCGCAATGAAGTCTCTGCTCACTGTGTGAAATAAACTGTAATTGTAGTACTTGATCTTGCATAATTTCAGGAAGTTCAAGCAAGCTCTGGGTCGCTCTTTGGTGTACAGATCCACCGTGATGTCCCCCAAAGTTGTTTCAATCACAACCGACATTTTGAGGTTAGGAATCTACGAAGTGTGTTTTCTCTGAAAATTACTTTATTAAAGTGGCCAAATTAACTTAATTGTACGAAAAATACCAAAAAACCTTCACATTTACCACAAAACATTTATTTAAAACTACAATAAATAAACATTACACACTGAAATGTGTGCAGTAGTTCTTATGCATACTCGATTCGTTCGCACTATTCATTTAGCAAGAACTACTCATCATCAAATTTGTAATACCGGGTGCGACAAAAGTCAGTGAACAATGTCTGAGGTCGTGTATTTTTATGTAAATGTCACTACTTGCTGCTGTTTTCTCATTTTAAGTTAAAAATTCAGACTCATAAGCAGTAACCGGGATCATAATGTAACTCCGAGGGGACATTTTTATACAATCTACCTAGCAACCACAAAACACATCATTTTATCCGCATTTATATGTCCTGAGTGGGTGACGTACAAATTGCAAGATTGTTGCAAGTGTGGTAGCGCCGTAGCGGTTTGAATGTTGAAAAATGCGTGATATAGAATTTGAACCCAGAATCAATTGTAAAATTGTGTAGATTTTTTTGCGTCAAGAGCACAGGAGACAATAAAGAGAAGTGGAAAGATGGTGTTTGTTACATTCTTGAAAGGTAAGCACAGATATATAAAAGAACACTGAAGTGTCATCTAGAACTCTCTACTACCCTTTCTCGAAAACGTTGGTTCAATTTCGATAGAATCTTTTTTGAGTAATCACATTATCCACTCAAGGAGTTCTAAAATCTTCAGTCGAGGCACCTTAAACCCTCTGCTACAAAGTCCCAGCTCAAGGAATTGTCAACTGGTCTTCTCACACCATAACTTCCGAGGAGCATTCAGATCTCTCGGAGGGTTTAAGTTTCGCTTTCGCTCCCGTTATGGTCCCGAAGGAGGACATCGCCACTGCGGTTGAATCATCCATCCACGCTGTTCCCAGAGAGATTGCCGATTCTATTCGGCTTGAAACGGCCAAGGTGTTGAATTCGTCTAGAGCCCCTAAATTCAACATCTCCAGCAGCTCGAAGTATGTGGCCCTTGGAAACCCTCGCAAACATTCCAATTTGGTCATCGTTTCTACAAATAAATGCAGCGCCACGGTCATACTAGACTAGATGAGTCCAAGGGCAAAAATCTTCTTAAAGGGGATACCTACCGGGCTACGTCACCCTTCCTCTGAACGCCATTTCTAAAATTAAACGAGAGGTTTCAAGCTGCTATTAGGTCTTTTGCGCTTCCCAAGGGTGGACAACGTCGCCATATCCCTAGCGACTCTAAACCGCCAAGGTTGTACGATTCACACATTCACAAGCACCAAATTCTGAAGGATAACAAGGACGTCGGGTTAATTACCGTTACTTATCCTATACCTATTTTTCATTCCCAGGAACGGTCTTACAAACAAGCTTCTGAGTTCTGATGGTGCTGCCATGGGTTCTCCGCTTTCACCGGTGGTGCCCAACATCTCCATGGAGCGTTTTGAATCGGTCTCGCAGGAATCTTTCCATCTTCTACCGAAAGTCTGGTACAGGTAGGTACACCGGTAGCACCTTTATAATAACAAAAAAAATCTGGGTGGGGTTACTTTCTCCGCTTTGGAAATCTGTCATCTTATTGGATGGTGTATCACTTTCGCGATTTTCTCCTGGCGTAATGGCTTTAAATAGCCAGATTTAACCATCCACTACAATAATCTAAATCCACCCCGCATCGCCCACCTCCTGCCACTCATCACCCTTCTACTCCACCAGTGCGTGGTCAGTAAAGGTAAAGTGGTTGTAAAATTCCTCCGCTAGATGTCGCTTCTAAGAATTACTTACCAACTAGAAACTCATATCCAGATCTCACTCCTCGACCAGGAGTTCATATTAATTCATAAACGAATCCGATTAGAACCCAGAATTATTTCTTGTCCATTTGACACACCCAAGTAGCAGCCCTAAAAATAAAATAACTGAAAGCATGCTTGTGTTGATAATCTCTCGGAGTTTACATGTTCCCCGTTGGTAATTTATTCTCTAATTAGCCATCCATTCAACAACACCGATCGACCACCATTCGATTCGACCGACAACCGTTTTCAGCCTTTTACAGCTGTCACCTAACCATAGTCGGTGTCTAAACAACCGGCCAATGAGTTATATGCGGATGATTCAACACAAGTTGCCAAGCTTATAATTTAAAACGTATTGTATTTATTTTTTAGCGCATTTCCACCAAAATAAAAATAAAAATGCGCTAATGTGGCCACTTTGTTCTTTATCTTAAGAACTATTGTTCTACATTTTTCGCTATTTGGTTCGTTATGGTGTCGAGGCTTGCACCAAGGAAGGAATTTTGTCTGCGTTTATTGCTAAAAAAGTTATTGTAAAAAAACCAACAAACCGCTTTTTACATGTTCCATAATTTTACACTTTTGCCGTTTATTAACGATTCTAAAGATCGTTTATAATTTTCTATTGCTGTCTGTCGTCTGTCTGTTGGTCTGTCCGTCTGTTCCTTTGTCTGCATGTCCCTCTATCTGTCCGTGTGAATGATAACTTTGTAATAAGTGGAAATACGCTTTTTGTAAATCGTTTACGATTCCTTTTTAACTTGTTAATTAATTAAATAGTCTAAAACTATACCAGCTTTTGACCTCTGACCAACCGGCTAGAGTTACCCGCAGACAGAACCTGGTACACCTTACAAAATGGCGCCCGAGCAGTGAGCGCACGTGATAATTGCCTTAGGCCTAGTTTTTCCATTTCTCAATAACTTCTTTCTACGAATAAATTCTATGGATAGCATTGTTGACACAATAGTTGTTAAGGTACTTATTTGCCAAATAAATTTATCTAGAGATGGAAATATTGGCCCTTAGATTCAAAAGTCCCACATAATCTCCGATGGCCGAGATGTATTTTTCCAAGGCAAATTATAACCCCGGAAGGTATAATGGGAGCAAATCCAAGCTGTTCCCGAAGATTCTTCTCAGACCAAAACACTCCGAACGCAATACTTCAAAGCGGTTCCATGGTATCACCAATGGTCAATAAGATGGTAGAGTTTTTGACGTTCTCCGCACACATGTTCTTTTCGAATTATAGGTGTTCACTTTTGACGCAATGGAGGGCTGTGTGAAGTTCACCTAAAATTTTAAATTTGTCTGTTTATCTATTACTTCATTGTCGGAACTTTTTCTAAGATTTATGGAAAGCTTTGGAACTTACTCTAGCACACTAATTACAATGGCCCAATTTTATGATGAGGGACTAACTTTAAATGTGCGCATGTTAGCGTTAGAGTATAACCTTTCAAATGACGTATCATACATCCCCATGTGTTTTTCCATTTTTCAAAAACGTGCTCCCCTAGCGAAAGGGAAAAAAATTGAAAAATTATTCGAGGATTTCTTTTTTGTTATTTGATAGAAACTGATTTATTAGGGGTGCATAGTTTTATTTAAGATACCGGGGCGGGACTCCCTCCCCCTCTTGACTATACCGAAAAAAAAACTGAGAAAACGAACGCCTACACATGGACATTTAACGATTGAAAGAATAAGGATGGTTAAAATCACACTCTCGTTCAAAATAAATTATTTATAAAAAATAAGTTATTGAGTCGGGCCAACTATTTACAAATTTCAATTTGAATATAGCGCCTCCTATTTATTGGCCGACATTATTGAAATTATAAGCGGTGGAACTGTAGAGTTCGCTACATGTTTGGATTTAGTTACAAACGGTTCTATGGGATCGGCACTTCTTAGTGGCTATAAATTCAATGACAGTTCACTTCAAACATAATCATTGGAAATGTATTCCTTTCATTGTAAAGGTTCTTATTATATTATAAATTTAATGACCGCACAGATTGTTATATACATATGTGGTAAACGGTTCCATATATAAAGGTTGCCACGGTTCCTATCAACATAGTATAGTGCGTCTAGTGTCTAGTGAAATGTTCGCAAACTGCACGAAATACAAGGATAAAGTCGAGGATAAAGTTGTAGCACAGATAAAATACCCAATTTATCTGTAGTTGTAGGAAGTTATAGTGAACTACTGCTTTCTGTATTGCTCGAGTGTATGGAACTTATCGTAAACTGATTTCTGTAACTTTATAGAGATCTGTAACACTTTTCTAGCGACATCTGCAATAGAATAGCCATACTATTGCATTGAATAGTACATTAGGATCTTATTTAATCAAAGAGATAACAGATGGCTCTAGAATACAAAACAAAAATAAAAATCTTCAACTTTAAAAATTGTTCATTTCCGGTTTAGTGTATATATTGGCACAAAATTAAAACAAAACGTGTAATAAGTGTAAACTAAGTAGGTATAAAGGAATGAGTAAAATCAATAAAATGAATTAACAAGTCCGCTAAAGGGCTTAGTAAAACTTAAAGTGGGCAAACGATCAAAAACCTCGAGGGAGCAAGTTAGTACTATGTAGTCCAGATGCGACACAACGATTGTCCATTGTCTGCACGGCCACCTCGATTCGGACTTCCTGATTGAATTAAGGGTAGATTCAGCTTATTGCGTTGGGATTTCAAACTACTGTAGAGCAAATTGAGATCACTTTTATGTTATACGGTACAAATGCGGGTTCGTGGATCGCATAATTTATTTATAAAAGAAAAATTCGCGAACGTCCGAAAAATAATTACTCTTTTCGGTCTGACTGGTGTGTTGTGTAGTTAGCGTTACGTACTTCAGCGGGTTTATCGCCCCTAGACTAACTTTTGAAAACTTAATTTGCTGCCGTTGCCAGCTGCACCACTACACAGACACCTTCAAGTGTCACCACCAATTACTAACAATTAACTAAGTTAGTTTAGACGGTACACGTCACGGATACGACAAGGCGTTTTAGAGAGGATGCGCTTCTACAAATTAATTTTACTTATAAGTTAGCAAATTAAAAGTTTTCCTAACGTTTTTTGTTTTACTTTTAAGATCACCAAATTTACTTCGCAAATGGGATCAAATTAATTGCTTTGTGTTAAAATTTTAATAAAACTACCGTTTCAATTCATTATACTTAATTAACAAAGGTCTTGAGGCTAACAACAACCTGGACTACTGCTTAATTATTTAGGTACCTACTATCATAGATTGTATCTTTAGGTTTTGCTGGCCTTGGAAGAATTTTAATACCTTAACCTGCAACATTTGAAAGGGTTTAATAATAATTTCTGATTGATTCCCA